CCCCAAAACCCCAAAACCCCAAAACCCCAAAACCCCTTATCATTATATCAATGAATTAATTGGAATTATAATAATATAAATAATAATAATCATTGCAGATGTGGCTCAGTAACTTCAGAAATGGCTTGAGAAAGGGTCTCCTGAACAGAGATAAGAATTTCATTAGAAGATGGCCAGTAGATCCAAAAATCGTCTTCTTTGGTCCACCAAATGTCTTCCAAGAGGAAATAAGTTAAAGGTAAATATTAAATCTTATATAGCTGATATTTAATGAATTTTTGATTGCATTTTACCATATTTTTTGATTGTAGATTTGCTATTGATTTGGGTATACCAATTATAAACATGGACTTGATCTTGCAAAATGTAGTTGAATAGGCTGGTAAGACTGAAGAGTTCTCTCACAGTTTCTTCTTAAGAGTAAGAGATATGATTCTTGCTGGAGACGGCGATGCTCTTGTTCAAGAAAAGGTGCACACTAAATTATTGAGACTTTCAGCTCAAGCTAACAATGGTTTCGTTTTGACTAACTTCCCAAATGATAAGGCTGAAGCTGAGACTTTAGAAGCATACAAAGGTGGCATAAATGCATTCGTACACATCTCTCTCCCAGATGATATCCTTGTCGATATTGAAGAGAACAAAATGACTTGCTAGGACTGTGGCAGAAATTATTACACTGAGACAATCCACAATCATGAATACGGTATTCACATTGATCCCTTTGGCCCTTCCAAGGATGGTACTTGCCACGACTGTGGCTCGGCCAGCATAACTGATGGCAGTGATCCTATTAGATTCGAAAAGGAACTTGAGAATTACAAGGCTAATAAGGAAGAATTGCTTAGTTTCTACGATCATTATGTAAGTTAAATTGAAATTTTAACGCCAAAATGGAATCGAAAGCGAAATTGATCTGATAATTATTAATCTTATTTATAGGGACTATTGGTTGATTTCGAAGTTAAAAGAGGATATGATGACTACGATAAGCTAAAAAAGAAGATTCAATACGGAATCAAGCACTGAAGAACTTAAAGAGGAGAAAATCGGCTGGTAGTCAATCAATCGATCATCACTCTTGCAGTTATTCTTAAGAGATTGTTTTATGTCTCTTTTATTTAAATTAAGATATAGTTAAATATCTCACATTATATTATTTCATATTTTTCATTCATTCGATAATACTTAAGATCCATACCATTGTTCAATTGCTTTTAGAATTTTCATAGGTCATTAGCCTTAAATTCTCAATTTCCCTGAATAACTCATAAATCTAGGTTTTAAGAGTTCATAGCCCTTCTTATCATTCTTTGCATCTAAATCCTTCTAGGTATGTACTTGAGAAACAGAACAGCTTGATGAATATCTACGATCTGATTAAAATGAGGCTCTTTATGTAAAATAGAGGAATGCTTTTTGAACTTCGAAAACTCTGGTTGTACACTAACCTAGTTCCCTTTAAGATTAGGTTTCTTGCTAAAACTGCCCTATTTTTAATGCTTTTCACTCTATAGATCTTTTTTATTAATTAATCCTTGGCCTGTTTTTTTGCCCTTCTTAGCGTCTTTTGATGAATTCAAGCCAGATATCTACTATTCCTTATTATGAATTATACTGGGTTCCTCATAGTCAATTAATGGTTCGTCCATTTTTACTCCATGGAAAATTTTTTCCTCTTTAATCTTGATCTATGCTCTCATTGCATCAAGCCTATTTGTAATCTCTTATACAAATTTAGGATTTTAGTCAAGTTTTGACTCAAAAAATTAAACCGTGAATTCAAGACGGCATTTTTCAAAGTATTCCTTAATAAGAGAATCTCTGATAGAGTTATCAATCTAAGTTAATTTATTGTATATGTTCTTTGCCTTTTTATTCTTTTTAGACTTCAAATAGTAATGCTTGTTCATAATACTCTTTTCCCTATCCCAAATGTAAATTAAGAAATCAATTTTGTATCGCAGTAAAATCATTCTTTCCTTCCAAGAGTTCTGAATTTTTTGCACTATTAAATTAGAGTGCGACATATTCTTACCTGTTTTGTAAAACTGAATGAACTTCATCTTTAAAACATGAACTTCAGATTTATTAGTCAAAAATTTGAAGATCGTATCATGAGCATTATCTTCTACTTTCTCATTCCTCACATACCCGATAAGACTCATAGCCCTAAAAACATAATATTACAAATTCTTAATATATTACATTGCTACTTTTCTTGCTAACCTAACTTCATAGGTCAAGCCTATAGATTTAAAGTTTATTTTATACCAATTTTAAATTCTCCTAGCACTTCTTTATCTAAGTTACTCTAGCATAACTTCTGCTCTCTTAGTTCTAAAATTATCGAACATAGAATGTATGATGTATGTTAGATTTAAATAGTTTATCCACTTTTTATTTTTCTCCTATCTTATAAGTAATTTTTCCCTATCCTAGGCATCAAACTTACGTTGCTCTCTTATCATTTCCCATTTATTCATTCTTTAAATTCTTTCGTGTAGCTTTTTGATATCCATAACATGTCTCTTTTTCTGATAAACCTTAATTCTCTCGATAGACAAAGATCTTTTCTTATTTTGACTGTTAATATAGGACTCCCAATTTTCAATAATAGTTGTGTTTTGAATCATGAAATTAGTATTGCAAATCCCAAAAAGCCTCTCTCTTCTGTCTTTTTTCATTTTAGATATAATTTCTTTAATCTCATCCAGTGCATGAGGGTTGTCTTAAATATCTCTAATCCTATTCTAAACTTCTTCCCTAATGAGATATTGCATTTTTCTAACCTATGAACCTCCATTACTTTTATGTTTCTTTCTACTATCATAATCATCATCCTCTCTAGGAAATTTAGTATGTACTTTGATACTACATCCTCTTAAAGATGTGAAATTCAAGAATAAGTAATTGCACTGAAAGCGTCTCGAATTGTCCTTGTTTTTTGCTTTCTATAATGCCTCACTATGGCTCGTAGGGGCAGTAGTTCTTTTTGGATCTACTAAGATCTTTGTCTGATTATGAAAATAGTAAGTGCTATTTGACTCATTTGGTTCATTAGATGTATCGGAAATGTACAATTTAAAATCCCCTTCAATTTTGTCCCTAAATTCAATATTTATCCTTAGCGGTGCTTCTCTTTAGAATGTGTATACTCTACAATAGATTGGAGTGGATTCAATAAGATCGAGATTAACAGGAGCATTCTAACTAAGAAGAGTTTAATTTATACCACCACACACCATTTTTGAAAGTTTGTATTGCATGAGTTTGATACTCTTGTCTGTTTTCTGCAAAAGATCTTAGCATTCGTTGGCATTTGATTTATTATTCCCTCCAATCATTGTTTCCATTAGCATATCCTCTATTGTCCTAAGTTTAGTTATCTCATCTTATAAATTCTGATTCTCTATCTCAGTAAGATTTGAAAGCTTTTAGCCCATCTTCTCACTGAGTATATTCTCTTTTTCATTTTATTTTAAAGGTATATTCTACTTTATTACCTTTTTGACAGTTGTTGTTGTATGTGAATAGGGATTTTAATCTGCATAGCCTGCATCACTCATCATAAAATTATTCTACCTAGAAGGCTTACTACTCACTAAGGTAGAAATGGGTCTCTTAGCAGATTATAGCTGCCTTGATCTCTAGCCAGAAGTAGACTGCTAGCGAATTTTATTGGCTTACTGTTGTTATTGCTTAAGTAATTGATCTTTGAACTGAGGATTGAATATATTTTGAGAATATTCAATTCCAAATTCAGTAATATCAAGTAAGTTATTCCTAGTTGAACTCTTGGTATTAAAAGTACTGTTCATCTTAGACAAAGACTTGTTTCTAGGCTTTATCTATCTATATCGATGCTAATTCGATAGGCTTAGTTATGGCTGGGAATCATATGCTTATTGGATTTAAGTATTTGTTTATGGTCTAAATTTGAAGTTAATTTTCTGATAAGGTACTTACATTTTATCAATGTTTGCAGCTGTTTATGGTCTTGGTTTATTAGCAGAGTTAAACGATTTGTTAGCGATATCACTAATATCAGTAATGTTCAACCTATTTAGTTAGAAACTGTTGTCATTTTGCTTAAGTGCTGAGTGATTATTTTCTCTTGTGTTTCTTGGTGATAACTGAATCCTTTTGGTCTGGTTCTTCTAAGTAGCGCCCTAAGTAATGAACTATTGCTTAGTAGTGCTAGCATAGTTGCTATTCCGAGAGTCTACTTTTCTCCACAGATTTGCCGTGGTAGGTCTGGAGTAACTAGTCGAGCCATCAGAGGTTAGCTAAGTCATAACAGTTTCTGTGCCCATAGTTTGATTCAAAGTCGCTGACGCTTTCCTCAAATAGCTCTAACTGCCCTCTTTCATCTGGTTACTATTGTAATTAATGATTGATCTGCGACCTTTAAGGGCAATTTTAGAATTTTGAAATTTAGTAATATCAGGAGCTGTTTAATTCCTTGAAGAAGGTCTAAGTTAGGAGTTGGGCATAGTTTTGTTTGGCGAGAGATAATTGATAGTATTCTCACTGATCATCATCATTATATTATTGATGCCTGTTTATTGCAATTATAATAAGAAATGAATAACAAACCAATTAAATTTGTCATTCATTTTATTACCAACTTCCTCTATATGGAGATTGACGGGGTTTTGGGGTTTTGGGGTTTTGGGG